CCCTTCTAAGGAAAAAAATTCACCCTTGTTAAGGATGCCTGCATAAGCCAATGACTTAGGAAAGGTACTTGAGGTACCAGTAGCAATCACTGTTATTTTGTGCAATGCACCGTGAGCTGTAAAACCTTCCCTCCATACAGAGCTGAATGATGTTGCCACTTGACCACAGGTGGGTCCCAGGTAGCTTATTTACGCACACAGTTGCAGCACTGGCTTCACTTCAGCAAATACGACATCTTTGCTCCTTATGAAGTCTTTGATCAACTTGGACGCAGTAGTAAGGCAGCAATCCTTTGTGTCTGCAGGGAGCATCACCATTTGCTAGTTCTTTGAATGAGACACTGGATCATAGACACTCATTCCTTAGGAAGTCAGAGCAGGGAATTATATACGGGTTAACCTCAGGTATCCTGGGTTCTGGAGTATTGCCCTATCTTTTCCCTTTTCCATAAGGAATGTGGTTCTTAAAAGGACAACGACTGTTAAGAGCTTGATGAAATGTGTTTTAAGTGTTCCTTTCCTTTCCACGTCACTGGTAAGTGCAGGTGTCAACTTCACAGAACACGCTTTGTAAAAGTGAAACTCCTGTATCTTCTGTCTGTGGCTACAAGAAAAATCCAGAGGAGGTGACGTGATCACTGAAGTTGCAGCTGCTGAGCTATTCCTTGTAAATTAATCCTTGGAGCAGAAGAGATGTTTCACAGCAGCTATTACTGAACACGGAACAATGATATCATGTTGAATATACAAATTGCATATATCCCTTATATTTGGAGGCTGCTACAGTGACGGACAGAACCTGAACCAGCTTTGCTGGCCAAGCTGGAAAGTTCTGCTGAATACTTGTTCAGGTGTATGATCACAGCTACCAGTGATAAAAACTCAGCCCAACCGGTTGCGCAGTTCTCAACTTGGCATCATAAGGGTCAATTGTAAATACTGAAAATATACTATAAAATAACTTATTTATAACTACTTACAATACAGTGGAAAAAAATCTTAAGCTGTTTTTTCCATGATCACATGTGTGGAAGAGCAGGCCTTCAGAAATGGAGAAGAAGGTTCCTTTCTGAACTGTCTGTGTTATCTCATGGCTGTTTACGCTGCTGTCAGCCTTGCTCATTCAAACATCACCTCCTGCCTACAGCAACTGAGGCACCACAGCTGGTTGCCCTTTGTCTGATCCTTCAGCTCTGAGTGAGGTCCACACTTTTACGAGACAATATATCTACCTAAATTTAAATATTACTTTTTTTTTTTTTTTCCCCTTAGAAACAAGCAAAATTCCATGTGCAACACAAAAATGACTTTAACATTGTTAACACTGTGGCCCAATCAATTTCCATATTCTCTTGCTTCTTCCATGCTGTCTTGAAGTATCCTTAACAAACCTGGAACAGAAAATGGGGCTTGAATTCTGTCACAAATACACTTCAACTCCTCTACCTATCACAACTGTTCCTCCTTGTAGGTATATGTCCAAAACCAGAAGTCAATTGAAGATTGCATTGCTGCTAGAGTGCTTTGTGTGAGTGCTGGATTTATGCAGGTAAATATTCTTCCCTGCTTCCAAAAAGAAAGTTATGGTTTTTAACAAGTGTAACCAGGGCTGGTGGGCAAACAAAGTTTGGTGTTGGAATCCAGCCAAGTAGCTCAATGGGTTAGAGGAGACTGAAAAGTTCTTAAAAGTAGCATGGAAAGGAATGTATCTAAGTTCATGAAAGATACAGGCCTGAGGTCTACTGGCTTGCAACAAGGATAAATCCTAAAAACTTCCAACTTATGCAATGACAACCGCTTGTCATATCCCAGCTGGTGAACAGCAGCAATATAGGCTGCAGTGTGAGCTACTCCGATATTCCAAGCATTGGTGTTGACAAAGGTGATACCTTTGGTCCACAGTGATTTCTACCTTGTTAACTGGGAGAATGAGAAAAAATAACTTTTAAGCTGTTTTAGGCACCAAAGATAAATATTTCTTTTTACTCAGTCACCCGGGATCTTATTTGCTATGTACTTCTGAGAATATGCCAATTTGAGTGGTCAAAATGTGCAGACTAGAGTTTCCTTTATTTTCTGTAGGTATTATTTATAACATACATCACATGAAACGAATGAGTTTGTAAGAGATGTTACCATTATTTATCTTCTATTAAGCCTTACTGAACACTAAAGCTATGTTGACTTCCACAGTTTCAGTATCTTTAGCTTGAGTTGAATCCTGGAAGCCCTTCCCACCTTTTATTTGATCTTCATGGCTTTTGCTTCTGCAACATTACACATTCATAATGCCCATATGTGGGAAATTCTGTATTTCTTTTGAAGTTGCTATAGCTCTGATTGCCATATCTGATTACAAAACAAAGAACTATATTAAAGATGACTCCTTCTTCCTATTTCTTCTTCTTAGCTTCTCCCCCTTCTAAGAGGATATACAGTACTAACCTGCTCTTATCTCATTATCTCACAAAAGGTTTTCCAGTAGTCATCTCATGCTTTGATAGAATTAATTTGTAACGATGAATAGGACACAAGTAAGATGGTGTAACACCTTCCCCTGTGGGGATAAAAGTGGATGTAAATGCTCTCAATGCAAGAACATGCTTGAGCACCTTGACACCAGAGCTGCTGTATGCAGATTGGAACTAGCTTTGGCCAGGACAAATATCCTCCTTCAAATGGAGTGACAGTCCTAGCTGCAAGAAGGAAACAAAATTAGTTTATCTACTAATGAATATTCTTCCAACCTTTTCTCAGCGTTCTCGTGAGTTTAAAACTCCAGAACTTAGCGTAGCTTGTCTTTAATCCATGCCATAACCATCGTTTAAATCTCACTTTGCTTCTACACTGAAACTGCTTGTAAATTTTTAATTAAAATGTGTTCACTTTGATACCATCAACCTTATTTTGAATCTGAGCACGAATAGTGTGGAGATTAATAAATCCAAGCCAAGCCTTAAAAGCATTCTAAATCACTGAAGTCACTATTTAGTCTAACTTTCCTTTTTCAAAGCAGGAGTGCCAGTTGGCATTTTCTGTAGTACGTGTTGTCTTCATACCTTTTTATTGCTCAGTTACTAGTAACTATAATAATCGCAGAACTGCTCCACAGCACAATGTGTGGATAGTGGCTTAACTTCAAGAAACTAACTATGGGGAAAAAAAATGAAATTCTTCACAGTGGCAAAAGTTGAGACCTTTGTCCTACACAGAAACATAAGGGAAAAGGCCAACACCAGGAAGTACAGGGATGTTTTCCAGGGAAAAAAAAAAAAAAAAAAAGCAACACTCAGAAAAAGCGGTCTTAAATTCAGGTCCCTATACTGCTGTTCCCTTTCCAAAGATACTTTCCTGGAAAAAAACATGAATCATGAAAAACGGCATTCAAGCACTGCTAAGGGTGTAAGAGGAACAGAATGGCCGCAATAACACCACGCTCCCATATCTGCAACTTGCAACCTTCTCGACATTGAGATCTGGAAAGCCCTGTCAAGGAGAACAACGGACTGGAATCATTCCCCCTCCACTCCCATTCCTGTGAGAACCAGTTTGGGTCACTCAGTCCAGACTCTCTACGTTTATGGCCAATAAATGTTTGACACCTCAACTGTGCAATTTCCATGACATCCTCACACTGTATATTCTGGTGCTTCACTAACTGTACTGGTTTGCCAGCTTTCACTAATGCCTAAACTGTCTCCTTTGTGTCAGCTGAAGCCTGGTACTGCTTCTGTTTCTCAGCATCAGACTATTCTGTGTTTAGCTACTGGCACTATATTCTCTTTTAATTAAGATGAAATCAAGCATCTGTAAAAACTATGACGTAAAACACAATTGTAGAAAAGAGCAGAACTTTGATGGTTCTCTTCTTGCCCTCATTTGGAGTCTCCACTTAACTAACTTCTTTCTTCAAGTACAATAATCAAAACTGAAAATAGAGTTTTACCAGTGATGAGTGAAAAAGGATCACTTCACTTATTTTATAGGATCTACCATATAGTAAAAATCCTGTATGATTGCTGCATTTATTTTATTTTTATTTGGACAGCATGATCCTGGCTTATCAACTATAATTCTCAATGTTCCAGCAGAGCTGCTCTGCAGCTAGCTCTTCCCTGGCCTCTCGACCTGTGGAACCTCTTGCCCATGTATGGTACCTGTGGCTGTTCTTTGGGGAAGAAAAGAATATTACTAAACAAGGACATTTAATTTAGCCTTCTGCACGTAAGTTCCTCTTATATAAAAAAAAACAAAACCAAACCAAACAAAAACCAAACCAAACCCAAACAACTTAAAGAGATCCACCTAGTCAAGACAGAACACTTTTAAAGTTCAAGGCAGCTCCAATTTCATCAGATAAACTCCCACCTCTTGATTAAACTCCACTTGGATTAAGGAATGCAGCTGCATAAAAAGTTCTGCCCACCTGTTTCTCTGATATTGACACTACTTTTTGCACACCTAATTGGTGAACAAGGTGAATAAGGAGCTAATTTCTTGAAATATATGGTCATAACAAAGGAAAATAACTCTGCGTCTAATTTTATAATAGTCAAATTATAAGGAAACAAAAATTTCTCTATCACATCTGTGACTTCAAATGCATCTCTCAATGCTGTTCTTACTACTTTGAAAAACCACACAGCAAAAACATGCAAGTATACTTTATCATTTAATAGAAAAAATGTATTGCTAACAGCACACCGACTTCTTAAAGAGTTATCAAGTGCTGTTCTAAGAATTAATATTGCAATTGAAGAGTATAAACCTAAGTCATAATTTAAAAAAAGGCATTTATCCCAGTTATTTCAAGTTTTACACATCAAGGGAACCAGCACCATAGCTTAATGGGGAACAAATCCCATCCATAATTTAAACAGCTAGGAGAAAGTAATTTCACACCAAAAAATACAGATATTCATATCAGTACCATACTTATTACTATACTTCATAAAAATGTAAATAATCCAAATAGGCGCACCCCATTTGTTTCCTCATATTCATTGTTTCATAATGCTATTTTGCAGAGTTCTTTGTAACCTAGCTATGTTGGCATCCAAGGCTGCTAAGCTATTCTTAAAGTCCTCTTCATCTCGAGAAGTAAAAGTTGAGAAAGACGATGCACTCCACTCAGACTTCCCTGATATATCATCAAATGAAATAGAACTAAAGTCAGCTATTTCACTCCCTTTTTTCTGAGAAACGTCTTTCGGAAATAGCATCGGTATGCGAGGGTATGTACCAGGCTGAGGTTGGTCTGGTTTGTCTGTGAAGTCTTTTACAGCTCCACTTGGAGTGTCTTTTGGCCTCATTTGGACTTTATCTCCTTCTGGCTTCACTTTATCCCCTGTAACTTCAAGTGCATTTTCCATAGTCTTTTTCCCACTGTACCCAGCATTTAATTTACCCAGAAGAGTTGGATCCTTTGCAATCTCACATCCATTTTGCTGCACAGAGTCCGAGAGCTCACAGTGGTAGTTCAGCATCTTACAAGCACCTCTACTTTGGAGTAGCACACCAGTTCTTTCAGAGATTGGCAACTGCTTTTTAGAGGCACTGCTAGTCAATGGAATATAAACAGTCTCGTCCAACTTGTTTTGTTCATCCAGTAAAGTCACAGAATCCCTAACTGTTTCTGTGTCTTGCTTCAGAGAGGCTGGTAGTATTCTGGGAGTTGATGTTTCTTCTTCTAATAATGTACTGTTTATTTTACTTCCTTCAGCAGCCAACTTTTCATAGGCTAGATTTCGCATTTCTAATTCTCCACTTTTATTTGAGAATTGAAGTTCCGTATCTGTCAAAATATGATCCGTTTCTAATTTTTTAAGGTAAGTCATTACTGAAGTACTCCCAGGAAAAAGATCAGGTTGCATCTGTTTTTCATGGTCTTCCAAAAGCGACTTTGAGAGACCTTTTTCAGGCTTGGGTCTGATGTTGTCTACTGTGAGGTCAGACAGAAGCTTGGCCATGCTGCCCTGCAAGGTTCTGTTAAGATAAGATCAATTAATCAGATTAACTATTTTTTTAGCAACTACTTAAAAAAACCCAAACCTCTTACATAAACCCAAACCACTAGATTTGTCAGACCACAGCAAAGTTACAATTCTCTTTCTACATGCTGTCATAAGATGTAGTATGTGAAGCAATTCCAAGTTTCTTGAATTTCTTTCTTCAGCTCAATGTGCCTATAAAACAACTAAAATAGCACAATGCATTGAAGTTCAAGATTATTCTTGATTTACCTGCTTTGAATACTGCAAAATAAAGTAGATGTCAAGAAACTGTTACAAAGCGTACAGAAAGTTACCAAAATCTGTGAATTTTTTTTCTGAATTATTGTTCTCATTGCATCTAAATAAAAAAATATAATAAAAGAAATAATTCGCTCATTTTCTGCTTGCTACATCAAAAGAAATGAATACTTAAATGATTACGTATAGAGCATATACATATACCCATAATAAGACATCATTATACTACCATCTGGTGGTCAGTATAATAGTCACAGAAGTGTGTCACATGTCTAAAGGTGTACTAAAGAATCTGAAGCATTAATTAAAAATATTCTGCCATTCCAGTCAGTACCAACTACAAACAAGACAACAGTTTAAGTTCCTGTGCACACGTACATACCCTTTGCATGTGCAAAAAGCTATTGAAGTATTCCGGCTTGCCACCAAGTTCCTCATAAAAGACCACGATGAAATAAATTCACAATAATAGTTCTAAAAAATTATAGTTAACCCATAGTTAACATCTGGGCAAAATCTATTTCAAATGTGTGTAGAATTAAAGAAAGGACTACTCATTCCCACAGGAAGAGCTTGCTATGGGTCCTGAAGACAGATCCTTCTGTGAGTTCTTCTGAAAACAGACCAATTTCTGAACCAGTGTAAAAAAAGAAAGAAAAAAAAAATCCCTCCTTAACTCAGATTAAGATGTAGTTTCCAAATTCTACAGCTTCAAGGGAAATATCAGTACATTTTCAGGTCCATGCGCCTCCCATGGAGCTCCTGATTGCGAGGTCTGCTATTAAGAGTTAAGACTTTGCACAAGTTACAGCAGATAGCATTTTACTTTACAACAGAATTCAAGTTGTGGAGCACGACAACTCTGTCGTAATTTAACAAAATTATAGCACCACTGTAGCAGAAGTAGCTACAAAGAGAGGTTTTAGCCTACATGACTTCCTACCACCAAGATACAAGATTACGAAAAAAGAAAAGCGATGTGAAAAGGCAAGAAATAGCTGAGCCAATAGTACCTGGTTAATTCACGCAGTCTGTTAACTTCTGCATCACGCTGCCGTAATGTTATGCCCAAAATCTTATTTTCTTTCTCTGAAGCTTCCAGCTTAAATTGAAGGTTCTTCACATTTGCTAATGCCTCTTCCACTTCTAAAATGCCAAGAAGAATTTACCTAATTATTTCTTTCAAGTTTTAAAGCATTAAATGAAGAATAAACAAATTAAAACATGTACCAATCTTGAGCTTGGTGGAATGAATGTCATGACGCTGTTTGTTTTCAAGCAATTCTTCTTCTTTATCTTGAATATCTTTTGCAAGATGTTTATTTTCTTCTTTCTGACTTTCTATTATTTTAAGTAGTTCTTCATTTTTAGCCTGCAGTGACTCAAGGCCTTTCAGTGATTCTTTCAATTGACTCTGGAGCATCATATTCAAGGACTGCAAAGAAACTACTAGCAAAAGTAGAACATAAAAAGTTTAAGTGTTTTATGTTGTACAGTTCAAATTTCTAGATCAAACACATAAAGAAAAATAATGCACTTTGCAGCTTAAGAGCTGAGTTTCACTATTTGGAGTCTAAACAGGCACAACCACCCATGCTAATGCAGTTGCATGATTAGACCCACAATACTTAGTTCAGTTGGCACTAAAGGCCACAATACTGTTATTATTTATTTATATATCTTTATATATCGGTATCTATTTAAATGAAGCTTTAACAAAAATGTCCCTAATAACCCTCATTCGCTATTAGTACTTTACATTCATAGTTGCAGCTCTGTCCAGATGTCTTCTCACTTCTTTCTCGTTCCCCGAGTTGCTGGTTTAATATTCTTAGTCTCCTAAATGTGAATTGTGAAAAAGCACAAATTCAGAAAGTGCAGAGTAAGTTCAAAACCACTGCATTTTAAATTTGTTTGGTAAGAAGTTGCTACTGAGAATTAAATGTTACAGAATGTTTCAGAAATATAAAAACGTTTTAATAACGCATTTTTCTTACATTCCCATATTTCTTCAACACAAAAGACCCTTTGTAAGTTTTGGTAAATATCTTTCCTTCTGAAGTAAAGTGCTACCTAGTTATGTATTTGAGAGCTCCCCTGAAATAAGAGACATTTTTGCATTTGAGAATCCACTACAAAAAGAATATAAGCAGGCTACCTATCTTGATACTGCAGTTTTCAGAGAGAACGATACGTTGACCCCACCTAGACAAAGGCCCAATCATGATGTAACTGGTGCTACTGTACTAACTGAACTCTTGCTACATGTTAAATATTGATTTTTAAACTATATAGCCTTACCAACACACTTTTGAAAAAATAAATATCGCATAGACAAGAATCAAAGGGCCATAACACTTAGACCATAATAATGCTAAAATAAGAAATTTAGAACAGACCAGTTAAATATACTTCAGGTGCATTTACAGTAAATACAGAATCACTGAGTTACTAACCTACGCAGCTGGACATTTTCACTTCTGAGAGGCTGTAAAGCCAGTGCTATTTCAGCTTGTATATTCGTACTTCCCACTACAGCTGGGAGCAATGATATGCAGTCTTCTATTTCACTCATCAGCCTTAACATTTCTGAATCATCTGCAAGAGGTGAGGGGAAAAAAAGACTCCGTAAACACATAAACCTGTAATATGACAGTAATATTTTATATGCAATTAAGCAATCTACAGAGTGATATAACAGTATCTACTTTTTTTTTTTTTCCAAGAAAACCTCTCTTCAATTCAACTATATTTATTTATTTGAAATTTTTAAGCTTGACTATGAAAACGATGCTTTAGGTTCTTGATAAATCACACTCCACCATCTCTGCAACCAACCTTGGTGGGATTGCTGTTGCAATCTGTCTACAGTGCTCCCTTTCCTTCCTCAGGGGAAAACACTGTATATGAAATGAGAACAATCTTTATCTGAGCTGTTACAATAACGTTAAAATACTCTCAAAAAAAATGTAATACTTATCCAGAGTGAAACATGAAGCTATTGAAGTTGTGGAAAACCACTCTAAGGTGTCACATATCATCTGACACATACAACTTCCAGAAACTGAACTGCTCACTCATTTAACACAGTTATTTGTATATAACCACTCTACTGCACAATGAAAATGTCCTCACCTAGATCTGCTATCAGTGCTCTGAGCTCTCCCAGAAGATATTTTATAGTCTTAACTTTATGGGCTGTTTCTTCTGGACTTTCTTTTCTAGATTTTGGAACTTTCTTCACAAAACTTGTCTTACAGCTTGTATCTCTCACTGGGGCTGTATCAAGTGCATTCAGCTCGTCATCTTCGCTGACTGTATCCTCACTGTGTTCTTCAGAAATATCTTCCTCCTTGTTACTTGAAGCATTATGTTTTGCTGGACAATGATGATGGCGATTCTGTTCAGTCCTGCCGTTCATCATTTCATGTGATTGTAACAGGGCCAGGTGAGCTTGTATGCATCTTATCAAATCTGCTTCTTTTATCTGTTGCTCATGGTTTGGTGTCATCTCTCTGCCAGAAGATGATGGGATGAATGAAGATACTGTAGAGTTACTTGATGCACCTGATGCTATACAAGGGATCACACAAGGAAGAGCAGACTGTATTTGAGCAGCATTAGTAGAAGCAGCAGAAACTACTGGGCAAACCACAGGTCCTCCCATCTCCGGCACACATTCATTGCCACCGTCTACGGGAACACCCTGCATAAAGAATATTGATATTAAACAAAAAATCAACACGGACTTACTTAAAAAAAAAAATCTTAAAAAAAACCCCAAAACCCCTTGTCTGACTCAATGTAGTCTTGATTGTTCTTTGCAAATCATAAAAGCAACTACAACTCACCGATTGCATAGTTTTCCAGTGTATTAAGGACTAATTAAAATGTAAATCTGGTTTAGATTACCTTTATCTTAAATGTTATTGGCAGCATTAAAGCACAGCTTTTTCAGCTGTTCTGTAAAGAAAAAAAAACTCAGCAGCACTTTGGTTTTGGTTTTTTGCTTTATGAACACTCATTCCTTGAATAAGACCAGAACAGGGAAGAAAAAGAAAAAAAGACAACACTGTTACCTTTCAATATTTTATGTAGATGAATTTCTTAAAAGTCAAGGACAGCACTAGCTATACATGGACTGCCTGCAGATGGAAGGTAAGTCTATAGTCTTACAGTTTCAAGGTGCAAGCCCTTTACCACATTTACCAAGGTGGCAGTTGGTACTCTCCATTAGTTCTATTCTATACCCTGAAATACACAAGTATTTTAAAATGTGGGTGTAAGATAATACACAGTGTCTGAAGGAATAATCAACTTCATCATTGGCAGGGAAAAGCTACATATGAGATATGATTTCTTTTATCAGGAGTTGGTTAACGATCCTAATGTGCGTTACTGAGAATGCAATTATTAACAGTAATGAATAATTTCCTGCACCTTCCATGTTTGCTGTCCACTACAGAATTCATTGTGCAGAAATAAGCAGCCAGTTGAAATGCCTCTAATTTCATTTTTTGGTGTCTATATAAAACACATTTTAAAGAGCAGTATTTTCTCTCATTTATTCTGTTCATCACTACCAATTGAAATATGTAATTTTTCTTCTTTAAGGAAAATTATTACGTAAACTCAAGAAAACCAACACACTTGAATAAATGTGTAAATAAATACGTAATGCTAATTTAAAACATTTATTAATAGTCAGAATCAAACTTTTACTTACTGACTGAGTAGATAAAGGATTAGCTGAATGCTGCAGGGACAGAGCTGATGTGGAGGTAGGTAATCGGTAATTAAAAGCTGTAACATTCTGACATCCTAAAAGAAAGTAACACTCATAGATCAGGGCAATTTTGGGCAAAACTCATACAGTAAAATAGCAGTCTACATTAATAGTTCCACTAACCATGATTTGAGGTAGGAAAAGGAGTTACAGTAGGAATAGTAGGAATTTCATTACTGTTCTGTGACGGTTGGCCAGTTATCAGAGACATCTGAGTTTGCACATGCTCGCACAGTTTCTGATGCACCACTGGAGAGTGTTGACTGCAAGGCACATGAATGGGTTGAACCATCTGATTCTGTGCTGCACTGGAAAGTTCTGTCTCAGTAGAAGGTGTGGTGGACAAGGCAAGTTTTCTATTTGATACTGGTACTACAGAGAAAAAAACAAAAATCCCAGATGAAGTTGTCTGTCTTCTCAATCTATACAAACCTATTGTGTCGTCAGGCAGATTCTGGCAGGTTCCTTTGAAAAAGAAACCCAAAAGATCCTGAAGCCTAAGCTTCCAGTCAGATTTTTAGTCACCAGCAAATTAATCCATCTTACTCTCCCCGCCCCAGACAGAGCAACCTAACCTAGTTGGACAGACTGCTGTCCTTGAAGGAAGCAGAGAGATTTAATCCTACAGAAGGCCAGTTGTAAAATGCAATTCTTAAAATCTCTGCTTAGCTGCTTCCTAAGCTTTTAGACCATTCAGGATAACCCATACCAAAGGACTCTCCAAACCTAGTTTTCTTACGTTGGGTAGAACTAAAACTCTTATTTTTACAGTGCTGGAAAGATATCAGCTATGTCCTCAACTACAATTCACAAAAAAGGCATTCTGCTACATACCCAGTCTACAGTCCCCACCTGCCTACAAGATTAGAAATCACACAAAAGAAACGGGGTGGATAGAGGGAGCAAATGCTAATAAAAGTGAAGTATTTCAACTGAGAGCAACTCAACCTAGGGTACTCCATTTACCTTTCCATTCAAGTGCTCTGGCCATGGAACCATTTGTTGTGACATTTTCCTGTTTCCAGAAACTGATCTTTGAGAAAAAGCCTGGCTGGACACCTAACTCCAGGACAGTTTATAGCTGCATATCCCAAACAGAGACCAAACACTGTAATGCTTCACTGTCCAAGTGAAATAGGGCATGAGTATTATCATTCTCTTCCATGCTTCCTATCAGCTAAACTTGATGATGTTGGTATTTATAAATGCAGTCAACATTCTTCCTTGTACACGAAGCTCAAACATTTGTGAATTTCAATTTCAACAGTTTAGTAAACATTTAAGGTTTCTAAACATCTAAGGTTTCTAAAAGTAAGGTCTACATCCTCTTGCAGATCCAGCCCTGGATCAACCTAGAACAAACAACAACAATTATCTGAAGCCCTTTTATATCTCAGTAAGTCGAGGGGTCTCTCTATGCCGTTTGAGAAAAAAAGCAAGCCCAAGAAAGTCCACTTACCAATTTCTTTTTGGACATGGACAGGAGTACTGGTTTTTTTCAACCCTTTCTTCTTGGAAGTACTTCCTTTGGTTAGCAAAGGCTTGGAATGAATTTTAACGGTAGTTGTTTTCCTAGGTTGTTTATGGATAGTCTCCTTTCCTAGTATTAGTCAGAAGAAAAACTAGTCAACAAACCAAATCAAAACAGTCTTACAAAAAATCAAAATGTAACTTAAGTTTTCAATAGGTACAACCTGTAGCCTCATTTTGTAAGATATTCTTCAGTAAAGCTGCACAACGGTCAAGCCCATTATGAATTGTATCAACCTGCACAAAGAATACTGCAGTCAAAAACGAGTATCACCATTTTCTTTCAGTAAACCAAGATACTGTTTCAGAGGTGAGTGTTCCCTGAAAAAGTACAACTGATAACCTGCAAAACCATGTCATTTTCCATGCATTACTTTGCAATTACATGAAAGTTTGCAACCACACAAATTTTGCAAAAACCCCTAAATTGTGTTCTTGCACACGTGTCCATTTGCTGGATTTTATGTTTTGGTAGTTGCATGTGTGTGGTTTTTAGTCTTATTTCCATGTACAGTTAAGCTATTTTCTACAGCTTATTCCTCTTTTGGAGATAATTGACTCAGCACTACACAGAAAACAGTGTTGCAGGACTGACTCCATACAACTCAATCTTTTCGGCATAAAACCTAACAAATATGGCTATACTTCTGCCAGGGCCGGCTCTAGTACATAAACAGCATAGTTGTCTTTGAAATACATATCCTGTGCCTTAATGAGATTTGTTAGAGCCAAACTCGCTGCACACAAAGCCAACTTGCATGTATCTGCAAGATACAGTATAGACACTCTTGCTAGCTTTGCAGGAGCTATTTCTAGTCCAGATGCAGTCGTATCTAAATTAACCTGTTTTTCTTCTATTATTCAATGTATTCCAACTTCCCTTCTCTTTAGATAACAGACATGATTACATTAAAGTCATTTAGTTACCTGATCATCAGAGTCAGTTGAATAGAGAGAATATCCAGACTCCGCATCGGAATGACATCCTTTTCTTAAGCCAAACCTGAAAAAGTCAAAGTCACTATTTATACTACCTCCTTAATACACAGCAAAGCAAAAAAAAAAATAAATATCTACTTTTATTCAATAATAGCAAACTAAAGTAAATTATCAAGAAACTAAGTATATTTCTCTTTCTGAAAACTGTGCATTGCTGCAACAAACATGTTTAGCAGATATTAACAGCTTATGTCATAAGAGAATTCAGTCTTCACTTAGCAGTCTTAGGTGTGGCTAGTAACTATACAAATTCAGTCTTTTATAAATGAAACACACAGAGAGACAACCCTGTATTTCTCCAGGCAAAATTACTATTCAGTTTCTGTCTGTCTATTCACGGGCTGCTTAGAACCTGGCTGTATTGCTTTTCAACTAAAAAGCTTTTCTGATATACACAAAGAATTTTTGACTATTTGTGAGTTATGAAAAACATAAGGTTCCCAAATGCTCACGTGTATGCCTAATCTTAGATAGTATTCATGATTAAGGTCTTACCGTTTTCTTCCATTTGTTAATTTAGCTGCTCCTGTTAGCCTTCCAGAAGACAGTACCTGTTGATTACAGAAATCATAGAATGGTTTAGGTTGGAAAGGACCTTGAAGATCATCGAGTTCCAACCCCCCTGCCATGGGCAGGGACACCTCCCACCAGACCAGGTTGCCCAAAGCCCCATCCAGCCTGGCCTTGAACACCTCCAGGGATGGGGCCTCAACAACCTCTCTGGGCAACCTGTTCCAGTAGAAGAGATGTGGATTCAAACATGTCTTGATTTTCATTAAGACTTTCACAATATAATTGAGGACTACCATTGCCCACTGATTCCAAGAACTTTTGCTGAGGCAGACCAGTTAAAGGTAATTTACAGCTCTCCGACCAAGGAGGGGGCCCACTGCTGCCATTAGGGACTGAATCCTGTAGTTTTCATTTCACAAAACACGCTTTTACTGCATGAAGCTTCATTAATAGGAGCAGCATTCTACAGATACAGTCATTCGCTTAACAACACGGTCAAGGGCTGACATACAAACATATGTTCCAGCCTGAAACCAAGCTCTATACACACCTAAACTTCGCAGATTTTAAGAATAAACTCAAGTCACAACAAAAACGACGGATACACCAGGGTGTAAGAACCCCTGAAAGGAAAGCTTGCTGCGGCGCCCCTCACCGACACACATGAGCCCGCTGAGCCCCGCGGAAGGGTCGCTGGGCTAAGGCCCGGCACGCAAAGGCCTTCAGTGCCGGAAGGCCCGACTGCCCCTCAGGAGTCGTTACGCTAGTGGCCCGGCAACCCCTCCCTCACCCCCCTCCGAGCACACCAGGGGTCCAGAGAGAGCCGAGACCCGGCTACAAACCAGGGAGGGGGTTGGGGAGGGTTCCCGCT